GATAATTAGCATATAAGATATAAAATTTTGCATTTGGAGTAAGGCTTCATTGAACAATCTCTCACAACTGAGTTTATGCTGCTTGTCTTGTCTGCCACATGGAAGTGAAATGGTAGATATGTAAATGTAGTAAAAGATTGCTTGAAGAAAACCAGTGACATATATTTGAGGAGTGGTAAAAGCAAAGCCTGTAAACTTGACATCATAAAAATGAGCTTCCTCATTTAAAAATACTTAATAGACATAATTCATCTATAAATATATTATATGGGCTCATTTTTATTGTCAAATGAATGCCTTGTATGACTAATGAAAGCTTGGCATAGGTTGGGAGTCTTATAGTACAGAAATTTTAAAAAATAATATAGTCTATATCATTCAACTAATGGAAATGTAGTATAAATCACCATGGACTCTGCCAACTTTACCAGGAGACCCTTGCTTCCATATCCTATTGTCCCAGCAGCCTTTTTTCTGCAGCTGCCAACTGCAGGCCATTTCCAGTGAAAAAAAGAAATATTTTTCATGTTCTGTTTGGTTATATGAGGCTGGTTCACATACAGCCCAGGATGACCTAGAATTTGCTTTACAGATTGATTTTTTAAAAAAATCCTCAAACTTTTGATCCTTCTTCCTCTACCCACCTGTGGTTGGTTCATGTGAATGCAACAGCACACAGTGTTGTTTTTGTGGAACAGGAATGAGACCTCCAGCTTTCTTCATGGCGCATCAGCACAACTGTTCTACATTCTATATTCTCAGTACCGAAAGAGTTTCTTGCTACCATAACATCTACTCTTCTACCCTTTTGTTGATGCAAGCCAGGTGATACTGAAGATTGTATGCACATAAAATTTCACAGGTACATTTTAGGATGACCCTATTTTCCATAAGCTTGCTTTCAGTTATAATGGAAGGAAACTACTAAAAGCAGTTAAACAAAAATTTGCCTTCAATTTTGCAATCTTTGAGCATCTAAAACTAGGAGAAGTAATTCCTCCACATATGTCAGTTACTAGTAGAGACTGGACTGACTAATGGTGGTTAATACAGTGGTCATGAATAATCAGAACCTGTGTTTTATGAAGCTTACATGAGAATTTCATACAATGAGGGGAATTTCTTCGAGGTACTTTGACAAACATGTAAAAATACCTCACAGCATTTTATTTAGAGGAGGACCTAGGCACTCTTCCATGTATCTGGGCTGAAATAGTTTCCCTTCATAGAGAATGGGCTCCAAAAGTACATCTGTGCACTAGGGATAAGGATTCCCCATGGAAGGCCTCAATATCCTTTGGAATTGGGTGGGGATGGGTTGGGGGGTCAGTGGGTCATGGGAGAATGAGAGGGAGAGGGAATGGGGGATTTACGTGTAAAATAAAATTGTTTATAAATAAAAAAGGCATACAGCTATAAGTGGTGAATTACCAAGAAGTAACCAGATGAGATTAGGGTATTAAAAAAAAAAAAAAAAACAAAAACAAAAAACTCACAGCTTGTGTGCTAAAACCTGTAGAATCTGCCCTTATACTAGTTGAAATCCTTCATACGGTAAACTGAAAATTGAGCAAAAACAAAAAAAAAAGATAGCTACAAAGTAAATACCATCCATTTTTATTTAGCTTATGATAATGGAAAAGTTTGTAGACAATATTTGTTAGTGTGTTCCCTAATAAAGAGAAATGGGTAGTATAAGGGTAACAACTACAATGTATTTGAAAATCTAGTGTCTTTTCAAAGTACTGAAAACAACATCCCATATAGTATAAGGTATTTAGATGTGCATCCCTAAATGCCATTCAGTTTAATTGATCAAGCTAGGCTCTACAGGTCTATCAATCTATTCAGTGGTCTAAAATAAACAATTTGCGGTATAGACCACTCTGCTTTCAGCATCTTTGGATCAAAAGTTACACAAAGAGCAGTCAAGGGGCCTCAAAACTCTTTTAATGGTGATATTCTTTTTTTACTTATTTTATTTTTTGAGATGTAATATAATTGCATCATTCCACATTTCCCTTTCCTCCATCAAAACCCTCCCAGATACCCCTCCTTTTCTCTTCAAAATGCATTGTAGCCTCTCATTTCGTTAATTATTGCTACATATACAAATGTTTGTATATTTGTACATCCTGAAAATCTACACCCCATGGGTTCTCAACCTTACATTAAGAACTATAGCCAACTAGTGGTGATATGCGAAAAAAAGCCAGGCTTCACTTTTGCACACCTTTGATCCCAGCACTCGGGAGGCAAAGGCAGGTAGATCTCTGTGAGTTCCAGATCAGCCTGGTCTACATGAGCTAGTTCCAGGAGAGGCTCCAAAGCCACAGTGAAACCCTGTCTCAAACAAAAACAAAACACAAAAACAAACCAACCAAACAAACAAAAGAGCCAGGCTTCTGCACTTTTATAATCCAACCAAGAGTAAGTAAATCATGAAAGTTTCATAGCCTTTTATGAATTCTGTAAAACTCTTGAGGCTTCAAATGTGAAAGAAAACAAGAGTCCAAAGAATCAGCATTGGAGTTTTTCAATGTTAAGTGCTTAAGAATGAGAATTAGTTTATTATGCAGTTCTGAAAACTGTAATTTTAAATATGAATGACTTCATAATAAGATGTGGAGTTCTTTCATACAGTGATAAACAGGTCAAACACACATTTAGAAACAGTACATTATCTAGATACAAGAATTCAAAAGAATGTCTTTAATTGTTAATGGCAAAGAAGCCGTTTTAATATGTTAACCTCATGTTTCCTAAAAGAATATGATGAAATAATTACTAACCCATATTTCCATCTTCAAAGCTTTAAAGCTACTCAAGGGTTAGCTATTTTCAAAGAGCTGTTTAATTGACTGAGCACGTGTTAGAAAACAGAAATATATCTATGTCAATGAAAACAGTAACCAATAAGAAAAAAATAATTAAATTCAATTAAATATAATTAATAAAGTAATTAAATTAATTAAAACCTAAAGTAACTCGGTAGTAATCACCAATCAAAATGATTTATATGTATTGACATTTAATAAGGGCAATAATCTCTATTCACAAGCTCAGGAATTCACATATTGTAATAGATATCATAATAGAATTATTATTGATTAGCCAGATCTGCATCATAAAAATTCAGCATATGGGATGTTAATGAAATTTTAAAATCAGTTACTAGCTTTTACTATATTATATTACTAGTATTGAATCTTTAAAACTAAATTTAAAATAAATGAAGTTTTATGAACTGCATAATGTGTATTTGTAACATAACTATATATGAGTTTGCCTTCACTGCTCATTTAAAGAACTAAACATAATTTATATATAAGAACATCTGATCTTAATCTATGCTTTAATCTTAGCAACTTAAATTTTTTATTAAGAATGTTAGCTGAACTCCTGGAATCCAGTCATAGAGAGGGAAGAGAGATAATATGAGCATAGGGGTCAAGACCATGATGTGGAAATCCACAGAAACAGCTAACCTGAGCAAGTGAGCTTGGACTCTGGACTGTAAGCTGGGGAACCTACATAAGACCCAAGGAGGCCCTCTAAATATGAGTGAGAGTTGGGTGAGTTGGGCAGTTTGCAGGATTACTAGCAGGGGAACCAGTATTTATCCCTAGTGCATAAACTGGCTTTTTGGAGCCCATCCCCTATGAAAAGATACGTTCCCCAGCCTAGATATAGGGGGAAGCTCTGTTGTCCTGCCTCAAGTTATATGACAGACTTTGTTGATTCCCCATGGGAGGTCTCACCCACTCTCAAGAGTGGATGGGGCATGAGATGGGGAAAGCTTGGGGTGGTAGAAGGACAGGAGGGAAAGGGAACTGGAATTGGTATGTAAAATAACATTGTTTTAAAAAATAAAAATAACAATAAAAAATAATTTTTTAACTTGAGGCTACACATTTGTAAAATATTGATAGGTGCTTAAATTTTAAATGCACAAACTAAACATGAATAACTGTAAATTTTCACTATAATACTTAAGATAACATTTTAAGTTCATTACATACTGTAAGTATGAAAATGTCAAATATGCTGTTTCATGGGTATGTGTTATTTCAATAAAACAATTGAAATATACTGTTTTTGTAATTTAGATGCCATAGGTAACTATTATGTTATAAATTTCAACAAAGTATATATTGATATTGTAAGAAGCATAACTGATTTAATATAAAATGAAAGTTTGAAAGTTTATAAGAGTGAAAAACACTAACATCACAATACTTTTGATTCAAAATTCATATGTATTATTGTCATGAAAAAGTTACCAACTCATATTTCTTAAGGATTAAAGGCTCCTGAGTATTCCTAATTTCTGTCAACATGAAATGTGAAATAGGATTCAATTCTAGACAAAATATAGGACTTTTAAAAGAAGTAGCTTTTGCTGATATTGTTGTTTTGCTGCAGTGAAGAATGAACCACAGAACTCAACAAAACCCATGTGGAGTTTATTAGGGAGGGGGTCAAGGTTGAAGGGAAGCTGGTGTTGGCAGACCAGGACAGGAAGTGAAGGGGGAGCAGCTGGGTTGTGCTTGCTTAAAAGGACAAGCTTGCACATGCATACAGAGTCCTTATGTAACCATGAAATACATTGGTACAGCCACACCACACAATGAAGGTCTCTTGAGCAGACTAAGTATCTATCTGAATGCTGGTGTGCATATCCTGCTGGTTGACAGGGGGTGTGGTTAGCATAAGGCCAGGATATCAACAGATATAGCTCTCAGCTTAAAGCAATACATCTGCACAAATCTAAATAATATAGAATCTGAGGTTCTGAGAAGCCTTTTCAAAACACAGTGAGTGGACAGTGTCACGGCCACCAGTCACTATTTGCAAATGTAGCAATCAGTAACAGATCTGCCAACTGAGCAGGGCTGAAACAGTAAATGGCACAATAATTTCACTAAATGCTACTGTCATAAGTCTGTCATCCTTATGAGTTACGATACACTTACATACTTTTCATTACTTTTTTTCAGAATGCTCTGGGCCATTGGGAATTGAAGGCGGAATCATATCGAATCAGCAGATCACAGCTTCATCTACCCACCGAGCTCTTTTTGGGCTCCAGAAGTGGTATCCCTACTATGCTCGACTTAATAAGAAGGGACTTATAAATGCCTGGACAGCTGCTGAAAATGATAGATGGCCATGGATTCAGGTAACAGAGGGATGGCACAGAGATGTTCCCCAAATGATCAGAATCAGTTATGGAAATAAATTAGAAAGACTTTGGTGTGATTCTTCCTTGAGTTCTGAGTGTAATTTAGTTTATGATCAAAATGGCTGTAAAATCTAAAAATGTGGAAAACATGCACATTCTCTGAAAATGTGAAAACGGCATTAAGATGGAAGTATTCTTAGACATAAATACAATGCTTTAAGTTACATTGAAAAAAGACTGTATCATCATTTGCATATGTTTATTCATACAGTGTTAACACTTAGCAACAGATTATAAAAAAGAAATTAACAATTTCACTACATATTATTTGTGAGAAATGATTTCTCATGTGCAAATATAAAATGTACATCGGTTCATGATAATATCCAACTGTCTGCAGCACCCCGTTTTTATCAATAGAGAATTTTTGAGTGTTCTGAGGGGCTTTATCACATATCAGTTGTGTAAAGGAGTTAGAAAGCTTCATGGTCTAAAGAATGAAGCAATATGAATATGTGGTTATCTTCACATTGTAGAAATATTAAAAGTAGGCATGTAAATGCTTTACAAGTAGATAAATAATATTGTAGAATTGATTACAAAACATTTTATAATTGTTCAAAGGTATTTGTAATTTTTTAATTTCTTTTTATTTTTTGCATCTGGACCAGTTCCCCTCCATCTTTTCCCCCAAGACCCCCACACATTCACCCCCCTTCTCTTTTTATTTGGAAAAGGGCAGGCCTCCCATGGCTCTCAACAAAACATGGCATATCAAGTTGCAGTAAGACTAAGCATCTCCCTTTCTATGTACTAAGTCCAAAGGCAACCCAGTATGAGGAATAGGATCCCAAAAGCTAGCAAAAGAGTTAGGGCCAGCTCCTACTCCCACTCTTAGGAGTCACATAGGAAAATCAAGCTACACAACTGTAACATATATACAGAAGACCTAGATTGGTCTACTGCACATTCCCTAGATGTAGTTTTAGTCTCTGTGAGCCCCTATGAGCCCAGTTTAGTCAATTTTGTGGGTTTTCTTGTGTTTCCTTGACCCTTCTGGCTCCTACAATCCTTCCTCCCTCTCTTCAGCAAAATTCCCTGAGATTCATACCAGTTTTTATCCTCATCACAGCTAATTTTGGAACAGGAAAAAACAACAATGCATTGAAATATTAAGAGCTTTGATGGAAAAGAACTGTCGAAGTAACAATGACATCTCATGTTCTGTCCATTTAAGCTTCCTGAGCACTCAAGTGAAAGCATAAGTTAGATGTAAGAGGAAGACAGAAAAGATGATTAAAATTGATTTGTGTGAAATAATATACCTCTGTTCACATGGTACATTAATACAATCACTGTCTACCAAATCATTAATAGCAGATACCAATTGTGAGAAAAGTTAAGTATACTGAGGGGTCAGAGCAGTCATGTTGAAAGTACATGGGTCAGGAAACTGATACAAGGCAATTTTTGAAGATAGCTTCCACTGATCTAGAATCTCAGGAAACAGCATAATATTGGGTGCTCATAAAAATGTAACAAACATCATTTAGAAAATCAGGACAAGTAGAGTTACTGGAAGAATGTTTTCAAATCTGATTTGAGGGATTGTAAATGCCCTAAGGTCATTCTAAAAGGATTATACCTTATTCTGTTGCAATGCATTATGAGTTTTTCTCTATGCAGCCATCTAGATCCCAAATACAGAGACTTCTTATTAATTATGAAAGCTAAGCCTATACTTAGACTTGTTCCTAACCTTTTTTTATACCTTAAACCATTTATGTTAATCTACATTCTATCATGTGGCTTATCTTGCACCTCCTGTTTCCTCTCCATATCTCCTGGTGCATCCACGTTTCTATCCCCAGAGTCCTCTCTGTCCCTGGAAGTCTCACTTAACCTCTTTCTGCCTTGTTATTCGTCAGTCAGATCTTTATGAAACCAATCAGAGGGAGCCTTGGAAAAGACACATCTTCACAGAGTAAACAAATATTATGCAATATTTCCCCTTTTTTGTCTAAATAAAAAGGGATGGTTTTTAACTCTAACAGAAAAACTATATCCAATAAGATAAATTATCAGGAAAGAATTATAGTCATAATGTCCATATGTGTTTGCAAGTTAGGAGAAAGTACTGCATTATCTATCCTATCTTAGTGAGTCCAAAGTTTCATACCTAAACCACTTTCTATCCCAACTTGTATTACCATCCTAAAAATATGCTCTTAGACATTAAAACATTTTTAGATAAATAACTTAAGCATTTATGTTTTTTTAACTTTATAAACTTTACCTCTCTTAAGTTTTTGTCTAATTTGCTAACAAAGAAAATTGTAGAACTATAACTATCTAGTCTTCAAACCCATCAAAGACACAAGAAGAATGTAATATTTCCTGAGTAAATAGGAGTACAGAGCCAGCAAATTCTAAAACTAAGTAATGACAGAGGTAGTTGACTGTCTGTTCCTATGTAATGTTTTGGAACCAATCTTTGGCCTATGGTACTAGAATATCTGAAAGACTTTTCTGTGAAGCAGGAAATTTGAAGGACTGTCCTTCCTTGTCTTGGCAAAGTTTGGCACGTGCTTTCTTTTGTATATTGATTGCCCAGTTTGGATAGTATACTGTCAGCAGTTGAGCCAAGGGAAGTTTCTTGTCCAGTGGCTAACTTTGCTGCAATGAAAACAAACTCCATATGGAGGTTCTTTGATGCCATTCATCCCTTTTTTTTGAAGTAGATGGTTCTGCAGGGAGCAGATGTGACTCATTTTCATGAAAAGTCTTGCTATTTAAGCATCTTAGATGCCATGTTCTGTAGATCTCAAAGTGTTGAAAGACCAAGTGTGTATCTAAAATACATCTCTGTTTAACCCTGAAAACATAGCTAACATGACTATAAGTTTAGTTATTATAGATGAGTACTAACCTGCATTTCTTAATTGTACATTAAATTTTTAATGAGCTGAATAGGTATAATACCTTAACACTGTATAAACATATTTATAGTATGTTAAAATAACCTCAATTTTATATCACTATAAGAGTCCATATCAATGTAAAATATTTGAGACTAATAGTTGCTTTTTAGTTCAAAGGTAGACTAAAAAAACCACCCTTTTATCCCATAATTTCTATAATATACTCCTCCTTTTTAAATTCAGAACAAGATCCCTGAAAGTAATCTCCTTTTTTTTAGCTTTCTCACTGATCATAATCAATAATAACCTGTAACCAATTCCCTAAACAATGACAAATATTCGTAACCAGCAAATGACAAAAAAAAAAAAAAAAAAAAAAAAAAACACACCCCCCTTTTTTGGAATTTGGGGGTTTCATTTTTTTCTTCTTAGGAATTTGGGTGTTGCATTCTTTAGACTGCTTCCAGTTATCTGGGAGTGACAGCATGTCTAGAGGACCCTGAGAAAATTGGGATAATGCTCAAGTCCAGGGAGAGCCGGCTGTATTGCGTTTTTTTTTTAGTCTCTGTGTAATGGGAAAATGTAGAACTTATCTGAAGTCTTTGTTGCTGTAGTCTGTGAGGCTGAATCATCTCAATTAGCAGCTCTGAATTTGTTATAAATCTAGAATTTTGAAGAAACTGCAGCAGAGGCATGCTGAGAGGCTGGATCATCTAGGATACTTGTCTTTATTGGTTTCTGGTCATTTTATTTTCTGAAAACACACAGACTTTTAAAAGTAAAAGATATATCTGCATTAACACAAGTATGGAATGTGCAATGTATATAAGTCAGCTAAACATGATTTTTTTTTGTTTTATGTTTGTGCACTAAAAGACATCTTTTAACTTTATAAGTCTGTTTGGATTGTTTAACCAAACATCTATCCATGCCATATGAAAGGTTGGCATGTAACAAGTCATGAGGATTCTGTAGTCAACAAGGTTTATCATGTCTCATCCATCCTCAGAGCTGTTCCCATGCATAAACATCTCCTATCCTGTGGTCATTCCTGGATTCCTCCCTCACATCTACAGCCAAGATTCACAGGAGGTTTCTGCTGATCAAATTTATTAATTTTAAAGAAATCCATAGCCTTTTGTTTCCTGTGGAAACAAAGGCATAACCTCTCTCTCAATACAATATATGTTCTGACATCCATTTTAAAGTTAAGACACCCTTAAAATACATAGGCTGGTTTAATTCAGTAGTATCCACAATCTGGTAACTCTCAGTAGCTGTCATATTGGTTCATTAGCATTTAAAAATTTTGAAATCAACAAAGCACCATAAAGGTTCCAGAATCCCTTTCTATTTTCTATCATTACTTGGCTTACTATTTGAGTGTGGGGTGTTTTGTTTTGTTTTGTTTTAAGCTTTATTTGTTTATTAAGTATATAGTTCTCTGTGTGCATGTGTCCCTGCAGGCCAGAAGAGGGCACAAGATCTCAATATAGATGGTTGTGAACTACCATGTGGTTGCTGGAAATTGAGCTCAGGACCTCTGGAAGAGCAGCCCATGCTCTTAACTGCTGAGACATCTTTCCAGGCCTACTTTATTATTTTTATTATTTTTAAACCATTTTAATGACTTCTATACCAATTTTCTTTTCTTTCTTTAGCATTTATGCACATTTTTTAAGCATATTCTATCAGTTCAGAGCTTTTTTCTCTATCTTGACCTCACTTCACTAGCTATGGTACAGACGGCTAGTTCTCTCCATGAGGCATGCCTCATGCTGCAGGTACCAGGAGGAGCCTTGTTTATTGTCCTAGCTCTGTGAAGTTGCTGAGCCTACGTTCCAGAGTCCCTGTAAGCAAAGAGTCCAGGCAGTGAATGCAGTGACACTGGCGGGCATGACTTCTCTGTCTCTGTGGTTGTGCCATGTGTTGGAGTGCCAAATGTAGTGTGGTTTTAGTCTGCTGCCAGCTTACAATGACACAGAGACTTATTAATTATGAAAGCTTAGCCTTTAGCTTAGGCGATCCCACTTATTCTTATAACTTAAATTAATCTGTTTCTATTAGTCTATATTC